AAAACTTCATCCAGGGACATAAGTTTCAGACAAGCTTCGCGAAAAGACATGTTTCAGTTTTATGCAAATGTTAACTCGCCTGTATATCCTCCTTCAGTGCACCGTGCACGAACAAAGTCACTAAAATTCATGTAATTATGATTCCTGTCCACTGGATAAAAAACGTACCATCTCCCACTAGCGTGAAGCAGATATTCACCTCCATCTAGCACCAAGATTAAGACTGCATGGCGAATTCAGTCCAAGACCACTGTTATAGTCGGCGCAGTAGTTTTTGGCCGGTGGAATTTTCAAGGGGAAGGCTAGGAGCGAGTCTCTTGTGCGATAGTATAATGCTGACTGCACCGAGGAGCTTATCGGACTGAACGCCCAAACCGTGCCACCTCAGGTACACAGAGTAGGCCCGCCCGCCAGCTTCTCCAAAGGCCCAAAAACTACTGCGCCGACTATACACGACGTAATGATAAGCCTACAAATTGTCTTTCCTTCTGACGTTCCTTGCTGATCATAAGTGTCCAAGCACTATAGGGGAGGGGAGACTTGTTTATGGCTGTTTAATTTTGCGTCAAGTCAGCAGCACATCACCGGAATTGTTGCGTTGCATTCTAAGTTCATGGTTGAGGTTCCTTTGTGCTTTCCCTCTTTGTCACCGGACAGCGCTACTTGTTGACAATCAGCACTGAATCATGTTCATCCATGATTCGTAATCCTACTTCACCTGGCACCATGGCAACCAGTGTCCTAGTGGGGAGACAGGTTTTGCTGTGTCAGCTTGCATGTAGTACTGCTTCTTGTGCACTGCATGTCCCACTCAGTTACAGAACGAGAACATCTGACTACGTTCACAAAACATAATGCGTCCCGAATTTTACGTGCAGACCCATCAAGAAAAAACTTTTTTTACAAAAACAATACCTGGGGCCAACACTGAGCTGAACGACAAAGTTGGTTAAACTTGAAATTGTAAATAAAATGTACTGACACTGAGACACAGTCTATTTTCATAAAAAGGCGAGTTGAGCGACTGCATTTTTTTAAAAGATAATCCTCATTTCTATTCACACAGCTCCTCCTTGGTCTTCCAGTGGCCCGTTTTCCAGAAGATTCCACAACAATTTTACGCAAATTTCTGGTCACACACACCCGGTCCAAATCAGTCTTTCAGATTGACTGTCCTCACAGCACTGGTAATCTGAATATCAACGTAGAATCCAGGGCTTATATATCAAAAATTGCAGTTTTGTACGTTTTAATCTTTATGTTTTTAGATAGCAGACGGGAAGGGAAATGATTTCAAAACTAAATAATAGTAAGTATTCTCAGAATTTAATTAGATCTTAGCTTCTTCCATGAATGCAATTTTGATTTGTTTTCTATATCATCGTGAGACGTACATGCAGTTTTGCAAACCGTTGCGAAGAAGAGATTACATACAAAAAAAAATCTATAACGTGTCCTAAGCTAAAGCTTATAGTATATGACTACTGTCGTACGCGACCTTTTATTCAGAAGGGCATACATGTAATAATCCTAACTTCCCTATAAACAACATTTATAAAAGGAACAGTCAGAAGTAAATTGGCAACAGAACTGCAGACATCATGGAGCTAATCCAGGAAAATTGAATTGGATTTCAGTTTTGTTTTGGGACAATGGTCACACTAGAACAAATGGCATACGGAGAAAAACAAGTGTGTCTGGATTCCGTCCAAGTAACGAAACTGCTGTCCACCTCAGTGAATGTTCCACTCCGTCTGCTCAGGGTCACACGTGCACATGGAAATTTCGTAAATACACGTTCACATTATATTGATCCGATATTGCGTTCCGTGACCATGTTCTTTGTCCCGAAGCCGGTTACGTTCTTGTGGTTTTTGATCTAATTTGTGATCCACAAGAATATTTGTTCAGCGGCCATTAAATTCCTTTATCCATTCAACTGTTCGTAATAACACAGCTCTGGGTATACAGATTTTTATTATTTTTATTTTATTTCGAGTCGTTACTAAAATTTATTGATACGTTATAGTCTTGTGTTCTGTACAATATGAACTGCCATTTCACTCTACCTGAAATTATGAACATACCCGGAGATATCTCAATTATATAACATAGCATTCCTTCAGCAGTAGCTATTAAGCTGATCAAGAAATCCCATTTCTTTTTCTAAAGGTGGGAGTTCATTATAGTCTTAATGAAAACCTGTCACTGGACCGTATATTCGGCCATCTCAATCTAGTACACGCCTTCAAATTATTTTCTTAAATGTCGATTTTATTATTAACCTCGAAACTACGCGTGCCATGACGTCTGTCTCTTCAGACTTTAAAAAAAATGCACGTTCCCTTTCCCCCCATGCGTCTTTCATGCCTTGGTCAAGAACTTATTCTTTATTTCAAGTCTCTAAATTATGAAGTACACATTATACAGCAGTGCCTACTGCATGAGGTGGCGAGGTTCCAGTGGTTAATCACAAACAGAGGAAGACAATTTAAGTAGTTGATATTAAGACAACAAGTTTGGAACAATTACGAAAGACAGAATATTTACATTTCTCAAAAAGGGCAAATACTATGTATCTGAATAAGAATTTCTTCCCTAATAATGCAAATGAGGCTGACGTATACACTACGAAGCCCGAAGAGTTAATCGATTAATCTTCCGATGATGTTATTACACTAATCATAAATTCAGACGTAAAAGAGGATGTTTGTCATAATGCAATTCATAAAACTTGACGCAAACAGTTTGAAGTTAATTCCTGTTCCAAAAAACCAATAACAATATCACCTGCTTAGCACAGTAAAATGAGTTTGACCACAGATATTTTAAATGGAACGGGTGACTTATCCTAAACCAGAGCTCATCCTGTTGATTACCCTATCCTTTGTTTCTCTCCTTCGTCTTCTATGATTAACAAGCCTTAATGCGCACGCACGTCATTAAACTGGTTGAAATTAGTTTCGCCATATTTCCTTGAGACTGCTTGCTGTAACAATAATGAACTATGAATATGATATTGTGCGCGGGGGGACATTTCATTTTCGTGTTGTGGTTTCGTTATAGGAATCTTGTGCGCCCCATCAGATTATATTACATGAGAGAACTTTTCCTTTTTTCATGTAAGCAGTCTCATGCGTAATGGTGCGGATACACGCATTGACTCACGCTGAGGGGAGAGCGGATTTTCTACCCTAAGCTATTGTCTTCGGCTCTCCATATTATAAGAGCCGAAGGATAATATTCTTTTGGGTTCTTACGTATATAAGCGATGGCTACAAAAAAGTTCACTACAAACGAACTGACCACAGGCAGTAGAGTTGCCACGGATCATTATTACACGTATCTGTATGTCTCTCTCCATTTACGAGACCCGAAATAATGGGGGTGTCGGTGCAAAGATTGTTTGTACACACCGAAATCTTTTTCTGAACAAAATCTGGTTCATCGTGAAATTTTACCAACTCAGATAAATCTAAATTTGTCGACTGTAGTTTTCTGCGTTGTGACTTGTTGGTAAAAATTAAAATATTTTTAACAAAGTAACTCACTCCATGAAGCACGGCCATTTTACAAAAATTAATAGCCCCCAGTCTTTCCGATTGAGATTTTGAGTTGTTTTCTCAGCCCCCTCCTTTGAAAGGGTTACAAAGTTCAAATATCTGGGAACAACAATAACAAATCAAAATGACACTCATGAGGTAGTTAGGAGAAGATTAACTGACCTGTGGTCATCACTTTGGTGGGTTACCACTTAGGAAGACGTAAGACGTAATTGCCAGTCATATGAGCCATAGGGAAACAATAATCTTGCCTGTTGTTTTGTATGGGTGTGAAACACGGTCTCTCACTCAGAGGGAGGAACGCGGATTGCAGGTGTTTGAGAATCGGGTGTTGAGGAGGATATTTGGGCCTAAGAGAGAAGACGATGGGGCGTAGAGAAAACTGCATAATCATGAGATTAAAATTTGTACTCCTCCCCCAGTATTGTCAGGGTGATTAAGCCGGGAAGAATGAGATGGGCTGGGCATGTAGCGCGCATGGATGGGACAAGAGGTGTGCACCGGGTACTGGTTGGGAAACCTGAAGGGAAGAGACCGCTGGGGAGACCTAGACGTAGATGGGAGGATAATCTCAGGCGGGATCTATGGGAGATAGGAGTTGAAGGAGACTGGATTTTGTTGGCCCAGGACAGGGTCCGGTGGAGGGCTTTGGTTAATTCGGTGATGAACCTTCGGGTTCGGTAAGCCATCTAGTTAGTTAGTTAGTTTCTCAGCCCCCAGACAAACCCCTAAACATTTTCACCATTTCTCCGAGCTCATAATTCTAGTCTTTCCTCATTCGACGATTCTGTGTGGTCTTTGGACGCGATCAATTTGAGTTACCTGATATTTTATCTTATACTTTTTGATTGCTTAATTTTTTTACTCGAATATCCCAATAAATTGCTGATTAATAATTGTGATTGCTGAAATACTGTATCGTCTTCAGCCTAGTCGAATAACATTGAATGTGGTTAAATACTTACATTCTTTTGAATGTTTCATAACTGAAGAACAGAAACGCCCGCCAAATTATAATGTTATTCGGGACACGTGGTTTATGAGATACGTAGATTGGTTAAGTTCATGTAATTTAACGGCGCTGTTTAAATTTCAAAATACAATGAATTTACGACTTGACGGTGTGTGTAGATAATTCTTCGTGAACGCTGTAACAACCTATTTCAAGGTACTATTCCACAGTTCGTTTTAAGATAACGAAGAATAGCACGAGCGTGGTCATCAGCACTGTCACGTGGTGACAGATTAACAAGCATCAGTCTGGTTCCATTATCGGCACTGCAAACTTCCTCATTAGTAATTTAATTAGACAAGTGTCACTGTTGAGGCGCGTGGTAGTAGATTAACTCAACGAGAGTGAACTGTAATAACAGAGGTAGGGATTCTGAAAGCAATACGGCAGCCGTAATAGAAGTGTCTATTGATAGGCCTACTTACTCCTGTATGCTGCGTGAGACGTCTCAGCCACAGTGGAACCATCTCGAAGTGCGACAGATGATTATTCATATGCTGTTTGGCTTCAGCATGAAGAAGATGGCTGCAGCTCGTGAGATTGGTCCTGCCAAAGAGACGGAAATGCAGTTCAGATAAACAGCATACAGTTGCAACGAGAAATACCGCGCGCTGGACAGAATGACTTACTAGTCTTTATACACTCGACCCATAAAATACAGAAAAGAGCACGGGAACATTTTATAGGTGCAATGTAAACGTTATACAGGGGCCTAGAATTTCACGTAATAAACAAGTCTATTAAATATTTGATATGTCTTATTTATGTCACTGCTCCGATATAAGTACGCTGCCTGAAACTATGTTGTTACTATACGAAATTTGGCGTACAACTCCGTACAAACACATACGAAGTGGTATTTATTTACATCGCCTTCAGACTAAATTTTGCAACTTCCATCCCGCTTATAAATCAGTCGACTGTCTAGCTTGGAGGTTGGGTCAGCCAAAATTTTAACCAGAATGAACTGATTCCAGATCCCTAGTTCCATTTAAATCATGAAACCGAATGAAACAAAACGAATACAGTAACATTCAAACACCCTATACAGTATAAAGTTATGATACAAACAGTATATACTGTGTTATTGAAAGTCGTTTATCATTCGCTGACGAATCCTTCTCACTCGCCAACGGTTACCGATACAGCCATTATCTGTTATCTGATTTGTCGAGACCAGATGCAGACACACCCGGGGGCAGCAAAACTATTGTTTCTAGTATGCCGGGTGCATACTAAATTGATTCTGTGTTTTTATTATTTATCTGATTTATTGCACACGGTATATATTTTCGTTGTTTAAAATTCAATTGGCCTTCTTCAGACAGTAACCATAACAATAATTTTTCGTTTCTCTCGTTGTAGCATCTTTCAATAGTTTTTTTTTCTCTTTCGTAGTGACTGGATGTATTTCTTACATCTCCATTACATTTCCGCTGCAACATTTTAATTGCAGGCCTATATTTTAGCTTAATTCCGAAGCCATAATCACATATGTAAATAAATTGCTTGTGGTCTAACAAATATTTTTAACGATGCAGGGGTCTGATGTGTTCTTCAGCATGTAGAAGACTGCCAGATACCTTTAAATTAGGGGATCATATTTTTGATGAGACATATTCTTTAGGCAGGGACAGCAGTAACAACTAAGACGAAACAAGTGCAGAAACCCAAGCTGGGATAACTGTTCAAAATAGACGCTATTTTGAATTGCAGAGTACCTTAAAGTTAAAAAGTATCTCACGGAAAGAAGAAAGAAACTAAAATTATGTAAAACAATAATTAAATAACTGTTGCTTATACAAGTAAGACATGGGTTATAAATAAAGATGAAACGTTAATCAGTTCATTGGAATGGAAAACCCTAAGGGAAATTTTAGTCAGTAAAGAAGTGAACAAGAGGTATGACGTATGCAACAAGATCACAGTAAGAATAAGAAATTAAAAATTAAAATATTTGGGCTACATACAGAGAATAATCAGTCAAAGGGGACCAGAAATGGCACTGGAAGGAAATCCTGGAGGAAGAAAAACCCAGGGTAGACATAGGAAAAGATGGTAACATGACGTCCAGGATGTGACTATGATGTATGTGAAGACACGGAGGACAAAGGCAATGAGCAGAGGAAAGGCGGACAAGGTTCGTCAAGAACTGCACAGCCAAGGGGTCCGTCAATCAGATTTTAAGTGACTGCAGCCAAAAGATAACATCGTCAGCTGCGGATGGGGGACGTGACTGTAAGTCAGTTGACTCTAGGAGCAACACAAACCATAAAGACGATCTATCTTTGATTTAAATCAGATTCCCAGTTCGTGTCTGTAGATAGAGTTGTTCCAAAGCGGAATTAAAATTAACTTCCATTCGTCACCTTACGTAACATTGACTCAAGTTTTACGAGAGCAGATTAACAAATAACATTTACATAGAAACTGTAATATAATCGAAGGCCTAAACATTTACACGTAGTGCTATTTTATTCAGTATCTG